CAAGAATACTTTTTGTACGCAAAGAAAACAAAAATAACGACTTTATTCAACTTATCCGCGTGACGCAGCAGACACAGAATAGCATACGCTGTTTACATTCAGTGGATATTCTCCAAAATGGCACCAGGGTGACACGGAGGAGATGAAATGTTGAATAAAGTCGTTATTTTTGTTTTCTTTGCATACAGAAAGTATTCTCGTAGCTTCGTAAACTTACAGTTGAACCCGTGATGTCACATGGATTATTTTATCGATCTCCTTGCAATGTTTCTGGATGTTGATCGTGTAAGGACCCTTGCTGTCTATGGGAGGGTCAGAGAGCTCTCAGAACTCATCAAAAATATCTTAATTTGTGTTCCGAAGATGAACGGAGGTCTTACGGGTTTAGAACGACATGAGGGTGAATAATTAATGACAGAATTTTCATTTTTGGGTGAACTAACCCTTTAAGCAAAATAGAAATATTCAAAATAAAAACAAATAAATTGACAAAATTACAAAACTTTTTAAATTACATAAAAAAACTATATAAAAACTATAAAAATAAAAGCTAATTCAAAATATTAATAAATACTATAATAGTACTTTTATACCAATATAAAAGAGTAGATTATTAGTGATTATTAGTCTTTTTATCACAAAAATCTGTGGTATGTCTTCAGAAGACTTCTTTTATAGTACTTCTATGGTGTTTTGTTGTCCTATTGGAGTTTGGTGGCTATGAACTGCTGTTGAATGGTAAAAGTGGTGTAAATATGTCTCTTTTTGTAGTCATAACAGCGTAAAGGTTTGGAACAACATGAGGGTGATTAAATAATGCCATCATTTTCATTTTTGGGGAAGTTACTCCATAATACCATCCACTAGATTTATGCTTCCACATTAACTTTCTTTCAAGCTTGAGACTTTCATTACTGCACACACAGATCTGTTGTAATTCCTGTTTGTTCTCTTTCTAAGGCACGTTGATCAAAGTACCACCTTCTCACTGAACTGAGACATGCAGGGTCCTCGCGCACTTCGCTACATGACTCATTAATCACAGAAGACTCACGGCAGAGGGTGGGCGTCCTCCAGTCCACACACACTCCCTGTTGACGGCACACGCTGCTGTACGCAGTAACAAGGTCACACACCGCATTAGGCTGGCAGGCCACGGTCCGACAGATCTGCACATAGTCCTGCGGGGGGACCAGTGCGTGACAGTGGCTGAACACCTCAGAACTTAACACATCGCAGCCCTTCGCCACACCTGCAGCACACGACTGAACCTCCTGATTCTGGACACACTCGCCCAGAGCCCATCCCTTCAGGTACATGTCAGGGTCTGTGGTCACACTGCCATCAGATAACACCAGACCCACCTGATCATCAGAGCAGGAACCTGAGAGAGAGAGACGGACCAGTTATGTACATCACACAATGGGTGGTTGGGAAAAACGGTATGGGAGGTTAAGAAAAATGTAAAAAAAAAAAAAGTTTCATGTAATACCACACACCACAGGATGTTGAATTGGACTTTAAACTAGAATGACAGGAAGAGGAAGTGCAGTTCAAAGAAATTCGGCATAGTCACGTTTTATTCTTGGTTTTTTTAAATTATTAAATTAAAATTAAATATTTGAAGAAATAAACATTACTATTAACTATTAAAATAAATATTAATTTCTAGCGTGTATATTATATTTTATAATACATTGTATATAATACAACAGTATATATATATTCAATTCTTAAATTCAAATATAATCATTTTAAAGAAACATACATTTTAAATATTGAATTAAATACAAATTTCTATAGGTGGCATTACATAGATTATTATTATATCACTTAAGATGGTGTAGGCCGATAGGTCTAACCAATCTGATATCATCACATCATTATTCACATGGCACAGCTGATTGGTTTCTTTTCACATCTGCAGCCAATGAGCTTGCTTCTCAACATTCAAATACTTGGCTAGTGCTTGCTGTAGCAGTTGCAGCGTGCTTCAGAAACTCTCCACCTTCCCCAGCTCCACCTGTATAGATCTGCTATGGGGTGATTTCGTGTATGTTATATATGGGGGTTATTTCATATTTGTGCAGCGGCAGTATTTCCCACATGCTCACAGAAGCATGTCTGTGGATGTATTGGCAGTAGCAAGTCTCGGCATCAGCAGCGTAGCAGATCTATTCCACCAAGACCAACACATTAGCATTGACATGTATCCTACTTTGCTAAACTTTCTGAGAGTTCTCATGACAGAAGTGCTAATATCATTTAATGTAAATACCCCATATGATTACGAATAAATAAAAACATATTAACAAATGTTAAACAAAAACCCACAGAGCAGATATATAAATTTCTTTGAATTTCATAATTCAATAATTCTTCAAATTTGAATTTGACAGTTTTGCATGCAATCTTAAATCACTTTTAGAAATGTAAATTAAATTTAAAATAATTAATTTTGAATACCACACGACATGATACAGGCAGACTTATACTCTCCTAAACAATCACACTCCAAAAATTACTGTCGTAAGCTTAAAGGAAGTGTATTTACCACATAAGCCAGTGGTGTTAGGTTTCATGGTGATGTCCATATTGACCATGAACTCATTGCTGTGAGGAGTGAAGGTGAGTGTGAAACCATGCTGCTCTGATCTCAGCTGGTGCAGTATTGCACCAATTTGTGTCACAGTCACTCCCTCACTTCTGAATGGCACTGCAGTAATCACACCGCCCACAGTCACCTGCAGTAAAGAGAAACATGTTGACCCTCTTTGCTAATTTAGTGAACTCTTCACTTTGCATGCTTTTGCAATTTATCAACCTTCATGTCATCCCGTAGCACCACACTCGTTCCACCCTTCCTCAGCTCCAGACTCTTCATGCAGATCTGATTGGGTGAGCTTTGACAGGCAGCTGTATGCAACACTAGCTCCACCCCTCCTGAGCGAAGCAGCAAATAGGAGCAAGCGGCTCTCAGTTTTAGAGCCGCACCCGAAAATGACACAACGTGACTAGTGGAGCTGCCCATGCAACTACCTGTAGGAATGGAAGTATGCATGTTTTTAGGGCATTTTTAGAAACCCTACTGTAATTTATATTGCATTTTCAATTTTATAATGCATAAGGCAGCAAACAACTTTTTAAACAGTAGTACACTAAATTGTTGTCACTTGACTTGATTGCATTTTTAAGCCAAGTTTGTGAAAAAATTACTACTTTTGGCTGTCCAATCAAATAATGAGACAAGAAAACAACTGTTGAAACCTACAGGTGATATTACTTAACACTGGAAGGTTGTGGTGCATTGCACTGTGTGATGAGATTAGTAACAGGATTGGTTGCTGTATAGTGAGGGGTGTGTGTTCGTACAGGGACAGGTCCAGGTACAGCCGCAGGTGTGATTGTAGCGGAGGGCTGGGAGGTTGTTTTTGCAGACGGGAGGCTCCATCTTCTCACAGTTGATGCGGTGGCTCTGCACCGTTACCGTGCCTGATGGGTTGCACAGCACTGAGTGACAGCCGTCTGGCAACAACCACGTCTCACCGGGCTGATGGAAGAAATGATCAGAATAGAGCATTAGATGTACAAACCAGAACATCAGGAGCCTTTGTTAGTCTGCGGTAGACGCTGCACGATTAATCAAAATAAAACCGAAATCACTAAATGGCTAAATGTCAAACAGAATGGCTGCAATTTATTTGCATATAGTATATGTGCTGTGTGTTTCACAGTAAAGTGCTGCACTGTGTTCTTTTATACTCGAACAACTCATGATCCAGTATTTTCATTGTCTCAGAGCAGCTTGGCTCACAGTAAAACCATCTCGAACTCCATCTCTGCATCTGCTCGGAGTCATTTGTAACGGGCATTTGAAAACGCAACACACGTCAACCATCTTCCCAAACTTGTGAAGAAAAGTGCTTATAAACTGACACTGTGGTTTTCCACCAAAATACAAGCTTTATGGTTTAAAATGTGAAAATGAAAACTTTAAGACATCCAAAAATATTAGTTTTGTAATATTACAGTTTTAATGTAAAATAAAATAATAATTATATAATTTTTCTTAAATAATTTTTTTTTTATTTTACAATGAAACATTATGAAAGTAATATTTCTTAGTTGATTTCAAATTGTATCTAATAATTATTTTACAATACAATTATTATTATAGTTATATATTTATAGTTATATATACTCACATCATTTTTGGCCAAATAGCACTATTTTTATAGCACTATAAATTGCAATTTCAGAAAAAGCCCAAAACAGCCAAAAAGTCATGCAGCCCTAGGTAGGCTAAAACATACTATATGCAAGTAAGTGAATGCAAACACTTCTGTCTATATGCAAGCTACTGTATGCATTTGTTGCATTCTGAAATGTGGTGCTATAGGGGGCATTAGCATAAACTTTCTTATGTTGTCATTTTTCTCTTTCAGGACATCTGCTGTCAACAGATTGAAGAAACTCTTTAAAAGCAAGTTGGTTTAAGCGTTGACATTTATAGCTAACTGTCTGAATAACATCACATTGAGCTTTAATGGCATAAACATTTAAATGTAACTCTATCGCCCCCCTGAGTTCAGAGGTTAGCTACTGCCATTGCCACCCAAAAGTGCATGTGCATGCTTGTAATGCATTGGCCAAGCATTCATGTTTGCGTACTTGCATCGAATATGTTACTAGCCTATTATTAAACTATTCATTAGCGAGCAGCTGTAGCTTAGGTTTTTTGAGAGATGAAGTTAATGGCCCATAATGTCTGGTTCAGTGAAAATATTATGGATCCCGAGATCCAGTGAAAGACAGATTGTTCTTGGAAGGTTTGCATCAGATCAAGAGTTTGAATGGTAGAAAATCAGAAGCTGATGTAAATAAGTTGAGGTCTTTAATGGGAGTTTGATGGAATGATGGCAATTTTGCATCCTACTAAAACACAGCTCACCTTCCGTTCATTCCCTTCATCATCCACACACACTCCAGGAGGACCCGCTGAGGGACATCATCATCACCATCACCATAATCAAACTGCTACAGTATTCCTGTTTTATTGTGTTATGTGTGTGTATACGAGAGTCTCACCCCTGCAGAGTTTGTCGGTGAACGACTGGTCGAGTGCAGCCATGGCGAGCAGGTACTCTGTGCTGCTGAGCCGAATGATGTTGTCCTGAGCGTGCCGTCCCGCGAGCGTGCTCAGTTCAGTCTGGTCATACTGGTTACCCACTCCAATAGGAAACACTGACACACCTGTATGCAACAAACACGAGCTACTTGTAAGTCATAAAGTTACGTAATTCAAATCATGAAAGTAGGATTTTAAATACATAATATTGTGTAAATAAAGTAGATATGTAATATTTACTAACAAAGAAATATTTGGTATATTGCTGCATCAGCCCCAAGTTGTCATTAGTATGAGGACAATGGAGCAGTTATGTAAGAAATTGAATTTATTCATGAGAAGGAACAAGACAGACATTCAGGAAATTGCCTCTTTATGCAATCTGAAGTAGCAACCGGTGGCTGACTGCACTTCACTTTGATGTTACAGTCCTTATGACTTTATACTGATCATGACTTTAATCTAATAATGCTGTGATTTCATTTCATAATGCTACAAATTTATTCTTTAAACTTTATGATTTTTATTCCCATAAAAAGCCTGTTATGTTTTCAAAACATCACGATTTTATTCTCAAAATACATTTAGATTCCATTTAATTTAAATTTTTTTTAATGTTAACATGACACTAAAATACTTTTGTAGTGACATGCTGTTGATTACAGCAGAAAATCATTTCAACTCATCCCTCTGCTTTAGACAACATCTGAAAAATATTTTTTGTACATAGTAAAGAAGTAAAACCAATCAAGCATGTTTAAAACTTAAGATGAACAGTTCTGCTTTTAAATAATCCCTAATTTTACAACTTAAAAATAAATCATATTTCATACATACAGTAACATTTTTTAAACAAAAATACAAGCTGCACGGTATTGCTTTTAAATCTGGAATATCTTGCCCCACAGACATTATGCATTACTGTAAACAGGCTTGTTTTACAGTCTGAGGGGATTTAAATTGGAGTAGAAATCAACAATGTACCATTGATGCTGTTAATAATGTTACATTTCTATTGAATCCTGAACATTACTTTAAAGACCACTTAAAAGAGTGCATTGATACAGCGGTAAAACTATTTCACCCACCAGCGGTCAGAGCCTCGTTTGCTGCCTCTTGCACGGAGTCTATTGACCTGTCAGTCACCACCTATTGAGACGTACCGATATTTGTGCCCTTTATAAAGGTTCTCACAAATGTTTTGAAGTCTTCAAACTGGTTATCAGAAGAGGCTCTTAGCAGGAACAGCACGTCCATGGGCTTTGAACATGGCACTGATCAAACACACACACTGATAGAATTACAAAGAAAGCATGTATGCATCACTCCTTAAGCATCTATGCATTGACTATCTTTGCATTCAACAACTAGAAACGGCAAAATTCAAATATCAGCTTGAGCTTTGCATGGGTTACTAGGGAAGTGATAAATGGTTACTAAGGTGTTCTATGTGGTTGCTAGGCTGCTCTGGGTAAGTAAGCAGTTACTAGATTTTTGCTAAGGTGTCATGAGTGGTTGCTGGGCCGTTGCTAGGGAGTTCTGGATGGTTGCTAGGGCATTCAGAGTGGTTGCTACATTGTTCTGGGCGGTTGCTAGGCAGCAGTTGCTAGATACTTGCGACAGTGTTCTGTGTGATAGCTAGGCTGTTGCTAGGGTATTCTGGGTGGTTGCTAGGGCATTCGGGGTGGTTGCTAAAGTAATCTGAGGTGTTGTTTGTTAGGTAGTTGCTAGACAACTGCTCTACTGCCACTGACTAATACAAATCCATTCATTTTTGATAATTTTCTGTACAAAAGGATGTTTTTGCATCATTTGCCAGCCAATTTCCACACTAATTGAGAGAATTACATTATTCCATTGTTCCACAGCAGTCATTCTCTCTGCTGCCTGACTGGTCCTTTAGCAATTTAAAAGAAAGAACATAGTAGGGCTACACAATTAAATAAAATTGAAATCATTATGGTTTAGTGCAGTGGTTCTCAACCTCAGCAAACTTCTAAGAGGGCCTCAAGATGACTTAAAATTATAAAATAAAATAAGATAAAACATCATTAAAACAGCAAAAACAACAAAAAATCAACATATTTCTTATGTTAATTCATTCAACTATTTTTTTCCTTTGAAGAACCAGGGTTCCCCCAGTCTTGGAAAACCTGGATATATGCAGTAGCCTAATTTTAAAAGTGAGTAAAATTTAAAAAAAAATTATTAATTAAATTTCATAACTCTATATGCATTTTATATATAATATAAAAAACAAATTTTTGTGATTATTCCAAGCTCTAAATACTTTATTGAGTAAAAGATATTATTACAAAAATGTATTTAAAAAACAACAACATTTAAATCCTAATCCAGTAAATCATAAACAACTGAAAAAGTCATGGGGTCTTTGAATATTATTGTTAATAATGGAGGGGCCTTGGAGTCATAAAGGTTGAGAACCACTGGTTTAGTGTGATTATCAAATTGCAAAGTCTAATTTTTATTGTTGTAAAGAAAATTATATTTATTTATTTATATATACATTTTTGTATTGTTATATTAATATTAAAATATTAATAATATTTTAATTTAGTAAAAATTAAATAATCATAAATATTATTAATTATTATTTTACAGTTATATTGATATATCAAAATATTTTGGCCAAATTGTGTAGGCCTACTAAAAAGCACAGCAAACCTAGAGCTTTTTTCCAAAGTTAATTTTTTTCCTCTAAATGGTGCAGCCCTAGAATGTGACAATATGCGAAAAGAGTGTAGCGTTGTTGTTGTATCTGACCTGAAGGGGGCAGCGTGGCTCTGGGTGGCAGTGTAGGCAGCACAGGCCTTCTGATGGTTTTACTGATATTGATCAGCATGGGCCGCAGTCTCTTAAGATCCGAAGGATTATCCAGCATGATCGGTTCATCCGGGAAGCTCAACTGCACCAGATCCTCATATCGAATCTGTTGGCCGATCCCAATCGGATACACTTTTTTATGAGCCGAGCTCGGAGGCCGCTGAATGACGTCCGTCGGAGGGCTCTGTGTGATGAGAAACACCATCTGGTCTGGCGTATTACTGGGTGTGTCTGTAGTGACAGTCTCATACACAGAACGAATGGCGTGGCCTGTGTTGACCTCCGCACCTTTGGTCCAACGTAATTGTCGCATTCTTTGCAACACCTGCTCCCTGTGCTGCAATTCCATGCGGCTGATTACCACAGTAACCGTGAAGGAGTACTGCACCACTGTGATCCGTAGATTCTCCACCTCTTTTTGATCAAGCGAAGCAACGACATCAACCAAAGCATCACGTGTTTTATTGAAGCCCTCCTCGCCAACTGCATCTGAGCTTTCCAACAGGAAGACGACCTCGTATGTTGTTACTGTGGTTGGAGGAAATGTTGTTCCAGGGCTGGGGATGCTGGGAAATGTGTTTACAATGGCAGCGGTTGGCGGAATCGTGGCGGTAGTGAGTTTAGAGGTGGCGGTAGTTGTTGGAGTGACTGAAGTGGTGCTGGGCTTTGTAGTAGAGGGTTTCTTTGGGGGTTCAGGATCCAATCCCAAAGTGCAGAGGTAGTCCGTGATGGCCAGAGCTTCATCGTCCAGCTCCGACACGCTGCTCACCACGTATGAGCGACTGCTGGGTGTGGCTTTCGTGATCTCATTAACCTGTGCCATGTTGACGTCAGGCCCTAGAGCCACCGTGAGGATGGTGATGTCTTTTTTACGCAGCAGACGCTGAGTACTACGCATGGGCCGAGGATTTGCACTCGCCGTCAGCAAGATAGCGACGCGGCCCGCATGCTCACGCTTGTTTTTATCGTAAATGTAGACAGCTAGATATTTTATGGCCTCATCCATAAACGCAACATCACCTCCGCTGTAACGCAGATCACGCACCATCTTCTTGAAGATCCACTTCTGCACCTGCATGTCGTAACTTTTCACGCCGGAGTGGAAGAGCAGGACCGTGGCGCGAGTATGGGCCGAACCCATGCGGAAGCGCTCCACCACACGGAGGATGAAGAGCTTGACCAAGCCGAAGTCTTCTTCACTCAGAGCAGAGGAGCCGTCCACGAGGAAGGCCAGGTCCATCGCTCTGTCGCAGGCATCGGCAGGCACCGGGGTGGAAAACGGGAGCGGCGTCGGGGTGTTGCTGACGGTGGTTGGTGTTAGTGTGGAGGCGAAACCAGTTACAGGACATGGGCCGCACGTCAACGTGTTGCTCTCACAGTGACTGAAAACATAACAAACATGACAATATTATACACTTAAATGGATGAATAAAAAAAAAATTATATATTATAAAGTTAAATAATGTTTACAATCATTTATGACAATTAGCCACAATTCTCATTAATTTAATGTGGAAAATTCTATATATTAAAAATGGAACACACGTTTAAATTATAAAATAAATATTAATAAAATATTTAAATAATATTGTGTATTATTAATATACTTTGTGTCTTTGTGTGTATCAGAAAGAGCTTTATTGTGTGCATATCTGTGCTGTTATTGATAGCAAATTATTGAAAAATGTTTGTTAATTGAAATTAAAACATTTATTATATATATTTTTATAAAATAAAATATAAATATTAGAAGAAAACATCTGAAAGAAATGTTGCCTTGGCAAATAAACTGAAATAAAAGTAACTTAAGTTGAAGTACCGAAATGACTAAAACCAAAACTAAACTAAATAGAAACTAAACTAAACTAAATTTTAAGAAGTAATACAAATGACAAAAGCACATAATAAAATTACTAAAGCTTAAACTGAAAATATAAGATAAAAATGAATAAAATAAAATATAAATAAATACTAATAAACATTATAATAGTATATAAATATATATAATATTATATAATAAATAAATAAATAATGTCATTTACTTTTAAATGATAATATATCTAAACATCATGATTCATAACTCATCATTCCAGAGAATGATATTGAATGATATTTTTGCTTTACAGTAATTTAACATTTGTGGTGAAATCATGAAAATAATGTAAAAATGCAAAACAATTTAATGGTCCTAGCAACAACAAAAATTGTCTTATGTAATATTTACATTTGTTCAATTCAATTTTGGGATTAAAACTTTTCTTTGTGAGATTCTCCCACACACTGCATACAATAATGAGCAATTGAGATTATAAACAGAGCATGGTGTACCATATCTGGCAGAGATGAGGATCGTCATGGTTAAGGATGAACTGTTTTCCATGGGAGATTCTCTCTCCGTCATGCATGCACACCTGACACTGTGACGCTTCCACACACTTCCTCAGCACCTCATCTAAAACTTGCCCTGAGGGACAGAAGCAGACAGAATGTGTGAATGAAAGTGAACTGGAAGTCTATGAAGTCAACTTACTTGCGAGTATGTGTGAATTGGCGCTACCTGGTGAGCAGACAGCATGGCATCCCTCCACACATGTGATGGGACAGCTCAGAGGCTCAGGGTGCTGGCAGGTGGGAGGGCAAGCGCTTCCACAGGTGTTATATCTCCACTCACACTCCACCCCTGCGTCCTTATTCAACTCCTCACAGCTCAGTGCTGCAAGTAAACAGTCAGTTACAACACACTGTTCTACAATATGACTTAGAGTACATAGCATTATTTTGCCCCTTGGGATTAAAGGGCTAGTTTAACCATCAATAAAAATTGTTCTCACCAGGCTCAGAAATTAGCCAACATTAGATATTTGTCACTGCATTTAGGCCTATACAGTTTACAGTAGTTTTATGTATTTATATAATTGTATTTAATTCTATGTATTTATAATCTGTATTTAATGTATTATAGGCCTATACCATTAGCAACAGAGTTCTATATATTTTTATTTCCATAAAACTTCATTTTTACATTCACACACACACACTTGTATAACAAAAATAATTACATAAATCATTTTAACTCTAAAATTCTCAGGTAAAAATTATTCAGAAATAACTTTTTGTTCATGAAGTTTTTCAAAAAATATATATATTACAGTTAACTAGCTAAATCTGACAAAAAAAAACACTTTTGAGGATATGCTCGAAAAATTTTTAATGATCCATAAATTACTAAAATATTTACCCATTTTGATTAAAAAAAACTCTTAAATCTCACAAAAACTGGAAATGCTCAAATTAGTTTTGCCCTTTAATTTGCTATTAATAACTTGTATAACAAAAATAATTACATAAATCATTTTAACTCTAAAATTCTCAGGTAAAAATGATTCAGAAATAACTTTTTGAAGTTTTTCAAAAATATATATATTACAGTTAACTAGCTAAATCTGACAAAAAAAACACTTTTGAGGATATGCTCGAAAATTTTTTAATGATCCATAAATTACTAAAATATTTACCCATTTTGATAAAAAAAAACTCTTAAATCTCACAAAAACTGGAAATGCTCAAATTAGTTTTGCCCTTTAATTTGCTATTAATAAAAATCATATTTTCACAACACAACTATTTAACAGTTTAAAAGACTTGGAACACTGTGAATGATTGATCTGAACTACTTTAGGGTACTTTTACCGTTTTTTGTCCTTTTTGGGGCTTGAGAGCTTTTATAACCATCCACTTTTATTGTTTAAAAGAATATGAACTTTCATTTACATGAAATGACATGTGGGTGAGTAAATGAGTAGTGAAACTTACGGCACAAGTCGTTGGACCTCCAGTTCACCACCAGTCCCTTCTGAGCACACTCGTGAGCATAGGCGGCAATAGTGTTACAGAAACATGCACAATCACCCACAGACGGACACGAGCATGTGTCATGAGTACAGATGTCCCAGTACGGCTCAGGGTCCACCTGACACAGACAGAGAAATACGTTTAAAAAAAAGCGTAAGCAATAGGAGTAATGACCACATGGCAATGTATTTTCGTCATTTTAATTGTGACTGTTAGAGTATAAATGTTACCAACCACACTATTGCACTCCCTGAAAATGGTGCTGGTGAGCACACGGCAGGACTGCTCCACCGTCACCAGCTTCACCATGTCTGTGCTGCACTGAGACACAACCTGCACACAGACGTCAAAATATGAGGTCATTTTATGCCTCTATAGTCGCTGTAAGAATACACTCTAGTTCAGGCTGTGATGGCCATGAACTCACCGGAACAGCGTCAGCACAGCTGGGTCGAACTTTCCACGAGTTTCCAAAGTCTGCAGCGTCCACCTCCATCTGATTACTGCTGCTCAACAGGTCATTATTCTGAATGGCATCAAAATTTCCACAAAGGCCACAGACTTTCCCCTTAAACACACATACATAAACTTATTTTAAGCTTATTCTTAATTTCTAAACTGTAAACCCTTAGAGAAGCAATTTGTGTAAGCAGAGAATGTGTGTGTTTCATGTAACTGCACTATGGAAACAACTTGGGTTTGTTCCAATTCTGGAACATTTTCAAAGGTAAAAATGATTTATAAATCATATTTCATTCATACATTTTGATTCATAAATTATTTTTGAACTCTAAAAATGATTTTTATCAGGGTTAGCTGTTTGCTAAATATTACATATCACTTTGGGGACATACCCAAATATATAATAAATCATTTTTTAACAGTTTTTTTTTTTTATTTAACCAGTAAAATCTGACAAAAACCCAGGTAGAAATAATTCCTAAATCATATTTTATACAAATATTTGGATTCAAAAATCATTTCTAAATCTAAAATATTTTTTACTTTTTAGAGTTACCGTGACAAAAACTCACTTTTGAGGACATGCTCAAAGAAACAATTATTCATAAAACATTCATAAAATGTGATTTATACTAATGTCAAAATTCTGACTAATGTCAAAAACATTCATAAATAGATTTTATTCATAAAATTTGATTCATAAGTCCTTATTTAACTCTTTTTCTTTAAGAATTCACTTTGAGAACATGCTTAAAGATAAAATTAATAAATATTTATTTATAAAATTTGATTCATAAATAAAAAATTTATTTTAACTTAAAATGATTTTTAATTGAGTTAACTCTTGCTAAAATTATTCATAAATAACTTTTTAAACATTTAAAAAAATAATCTATGGTATGTGCTCATTTAGATAGCTAGGCAGATGTGTGTGTGTGTGTGTGTGTGTGTGTGTTACCCTGTACTGTCCATTGATCTGCAGTGAGATTCGGGTTCCTGTGTCCCAGGTGATGGAGATGTGTTTACCCAGAAGGATGATGTAATACTGTCCCGAGCGCACAATCTCAACCGCTGTCTCTTTCAACACAGGCCTCTTCATCCTCACCTACAGAAGAAGAGGACAACGGAGTAAGAAAGACAAAACCTGTATGCTTTCACTTCACATATAATGCTTACAGTAAGTAATATGTGTTAACATGGTGGAAGAATAATAGAATCAGTGTACTATACAAAATATGTTCTATATTTTAGTAGTAATTATTTAATCACAACCTTTCTGATATTGTAAGTGTGATTTTTTTTAATACAACAGATATTTATTTAAATAATATTATATTTTATTTCAGACTCAATATGACCAACAATTTCCAACAAAAACAGCTGATGCTGTATTGTGTGTTGACAAGTCAGCATCCAGGACTGTAGATATCTGTTTTTTTATGTAAAATATAACAATAATTTTACCTCGTTGTGTTCCATGACAATCAGTCCTCCCATGTACAACACTGTGATGCTTTTACTGCAGCGGTAGCCTGCGATCCCACAAGCAGAGTTCTCCACCAGAACCCTAAACGTGCCGTCCACCCCGTTACAGTAATCCTGCTCAGACAGACAGAAGAATGAGGGAAAACAGGAGAATATGAGGGACCGAGGAGGAAAGAGAGCAAGAGAGAGAGAATATTGGCTTTACCTGAGATAGCACGTATTGGCAAGGTCCAGGAAACGAGAACTTGAGTCCATCAAAGCTGATGTAGTGTGTCTCTCCTATCACACGACACACACCGTCACACACACGCTGCGTACACTTCCACTGACGCTTCTCACAAACACTGGGACACAAAAGGAAATGTAATTGTAATAGAATGATTGGAATGTTTATACTTCTCATCTGATGTTCGCAACAAAATGACATTACAGTGTCGGGATGAGCCCTGATTGGCTGATTTACCAGGTGTTGCAGTCCACATTAATGCTCTGTCCTGAGGCATAGGGACGGTTGTTATGGTAACAAGGGCACTGGTCTTGGGGAATGCATTCTTTTTTGTGTCGAACCTGCAAACAGCCATTAAATCAATCCTTATAGCGTCAACAGTATAATCCATTAAAAAGTTGCAAACTCAACTTTTTCGGATATTAAAATATGAATTTCTTATGATGTGCATTCCTGATATAAACTGTGCTCCTGCTGCAGGCATCTGACATACTATATCGAACTTCACACGTGAGTTTATGTATTTGGAAGATGTAATGACTTTCATATGTAAAATGTTGGTAGATAGAAAGTTCAAAAGTGTCACTGAGGACTGGATTAATGATGCTGAAAATTCAGCTTTGCAACACAGGAATAAATACAATTTTAATACGTATTAAAATAGAAAACAGAATAATTTTTCACAGTACTACTGTTTAATTTAGTTTTGATCATATAAATGCAGCCTTGGTGAGAATAAGTTCTTCATTCAGTTGAATGGTAGTGTATTTTTCAAAAGTATTTTCAGAAATATTTATGAAAACAGTGAAAAGTTGTAGTTAATGTAGTATAGATAAGGAAACGTAAAGCTGATCTGATCTGAACTGACCAGTCCTAGTATGCTGAAGTCCTGGCTCATGAATATTAATGAGTTTCATTAATGTAAACATAATCGATTTTGACGAGAGAAATGTCAAACGGTTCGTCGCTGTGCTTCCTAATGTTCACTCTCACACTTACCATTCCAAGTGGACACATACAGCCAGACACACATCCCTGACTGACACACTCCAGGTCCAGATTCTGGCAGGTCTTGGCACACTCTATCCCAGCATCCCTCACACTCTCACACTCAAACCGCTGCAGTGGAGGGGGACAAGTGATAGAGCGCCGCCCTACAGGTGAAAAACACACTCAATGAATTCATTATATGTATGTATTATATGTATACTGTATGTACTTGTCTGAGCCACTTGACAATATTCTGTCCACTTGTGTGTCACTGATGTGCAATTGTGCTCCATTAGAAGTGCACAGAGATACGAAAGTGAGGAGGAATACCTCTTGAAGAAGAATGTTCGTCAAAGAAGAGGTCAGACAGAGTAGATCCAGTGGCTTCATTAGAAGTGCATTGCATGGATCCACTCTCGCATACACTACAAGAAAACATACACAGAAAAACATTAACACTGACATTTAAAACAATAATACACACACACACACACACACACACACATATATACCCCATGCTTAATAAGTGCTCACTAAGGCTGAATTTCTTTGATCTAAAATACAGTAAAAACAATAATAATGTGAAATATTACAATTTAAAATACCTGTTTTCTATTTTAATGTACAATGTAATGTCATGTAATATAGATGTACTACAGATGTATATATATATACAATATATATAATAAGTCTTTGTCAGTTTTGAACAATTTAATGCATCCTTGCTGACTGTAAGTATTACTTTCTTTCAAAAGAAATTATATATATATATATATATATACAGTATATATATATATATATATATATATATTTATTAATATTTATATGTATTTTTTTATATTTACAATGCATTGTATATATGTATCCGTTTATCTGTATATGCGTTCTGTGCAACACAGGTATTTGATTAAACGTCAGGCTATCAAAGAAAGCTGATGTGCATCTGTTTAATAAATTACTGTGTTGTTTTTTCCTGCTAACCAGATGGAGTGATGGTCCCCAATCATGTCGTTAGGCTCAAAGATCTCTCCGTTATGGTGGCACGAGCAGTGTTCGGGGGGCACACACTCGCCCGCGTCGCTGAGGAAGAGTCCTCTGGGGCAGAAACAGCCTTCCTCACAGAAGCCACCACAATCACCGTCAGGCAGCGACAGAGAGCGGCACGTCTGATTACACACACTCCCACACACCTCATACACCTGGTCATCCGGACAGGTCAGTTCTGCCCAGACACACACACACAAACACACACACATTTGCTCTTCTGTCCTGAAGGAGACCTTCCATTGACTTTTATTATGTAAACCTTTAAAATGCATTTTTAGATTTTCAATAACACATTATTTAGTATGTTTATTCAGCTGTTTTGCTGACTTAACATGCAATACACTGCAAAAAATGATTTTCTTATTCAGTATTTTTGTCTTGTTTTTCAATACAAATATCTAAGCATTCTTAAATAAACATGCATTTACGTTAGAAGCATGGGTCAACTTGTTTGCTTTGAAAAAAATACTTATTAAAACAAGAAAAATTAAAAAAAATTACTTTCCAAAAAGTAAAAAAATATATTTAAATTAGTTACATTTTAATGTATGTGTAATAATACATTCATCATAATTTAATAATATATAATTAATATATTATAATAATAAATGTAATCATTTAAAATTATTTTTCTTACCACATTGGCAGATTCATTTTTATTCTGTGATATAGAAATTTCATGTTGTAATCACAAACTTACTTAATTTTGATATATATTTCAGATAACAAGACATAATATCTTCTCTTCAAGTTCTCTATTTCAGAATGAAGATATATTTGTACTGAAAAATAATATAAAATACAAAGAAAAAATAAAAAACTAAGAAATAAAAACATATTTCGTATGGCATATAAACACAGAATGAGAAATACCACAGTATCCATGTCCCCTCCAGTTGATTAGCACTCCCTTGGCTGCGCAGGCGGCTGCATAGCTACGAACAGCATCACACAGACAAACTTGGCCGTCTGCGCAGGAGCAGACGTCATAGCGGCAGTTCTTTACATATGGCTCAGGGTTGACCACATAGTGGCAGGGCACAAACTTCATAGAAAGCAGCACAGCACAGGCCTCTTCTGCAAAACGTACTGTAGACACAATACGACACTTTACCTAATGGCCTTTGTTGCCCTCTGGTGTTCAGTGCATATATATAAATCATGATATCATACTGGCAGCATTCAAATTGAGATGATAATTCCTAAAAGTGCATTTATACTCTTTAAATATGCATCTTTACAGGCTTGTAACCGCCATTCATTTGTGTTTAAACTTTTACATGTGGTGCCCCTGATATTGAAAATGCGTTCATATACATGTATCTGTATGAGTGTGTGAGTGTTTATACCTCTCTTAGGGTTTAAAATACAGGGATCTGAGGGTTGCAATTGAACATTGTCACAGTCTGCGTTCATCTTCCATGCGTTGCCGAATCCTTCGACGCGTGTCTCCACCAGCCCTCCCACTGTTAAGAAGTCATCTCCTTGGTTACCATTATAATTACCGCACAGACCGCACGTTTTCCCAGCATAGGCTGGGTTTAGCTGCAAACACACACACACACACACAAATGCTCTCATATCAGAATTGCAGCACAGGAGTATTTTCACACGCAGACTCTATTATATGCGCATGGGAATTATTTATACACATTATTTTCAGCACCTAAAGCTCCCAGCTTTCTCTGACACACAACATCTGATCCTGATTGCTGGAAATTCAGTTTTTAAGGTGGTAGATTGTTTTACAGGGCTTCTGGATAGTCGAAGGTGGTCGTTAGCTAAATCAAACTGGTTTAGGTAATTGAAAGAAGATGCTTAGCAGAATGTTCACGCTGCTCTTTTCCATACAGTGAAAATGAATGGAAACGGAGGCTATCAAGCTTCAAAAAAGACAAGAAAACACCATAAAACTGATATCATAGTTATTATAAAGGTGGTCCATTAAACTGTATTCCAATGTGTCTTGAGGTGCTATATTTGAATGTATTCCAGTACAAATCCATAACAAAACATATTGGGCATTTCCTCACACAAAACAATCATATGGCTTCAGAAGATTTTAAATACAGCGCAAAAGTAATGTGCACCCCTTTATACATTTATGGTGCTTTTTTATCATTTAAGGAGCTTGACAGCCTCAGTTAATATTCATTTTTATTCTGTGATATAGAGCTGTCAGAATTTTCTTTTTCTATTTCATGTAAAAACGTAAGTCTCACAGGTTTGGAATGACATGAGAGTAAATAAATCAGTGTTATTATATTAGTATTTTTTATATATACTATTATAGCATTCAGTAATATTTTGAATTACCTTTCATTTTCATTTTTTCATTTTTTATTTGAATTTTAGTGTCCATTCTGCTGCTTTTGTCGTTTTTTATTTTTATATTTTAATTTAGTTGTATATTTGTTGAGTTAGTTGACAAGGCAACATTTCTAATTGTCATTTCAAGTTTTTACATTTTTCACCTAATATTTCTATTTTAATCTGTTTCAACATTTTGAAATGACCAATTTAATTTTTTTTAACCGTTTACGTTTTCAATTTTAGTTTTTGAGAACAATAGCAACACTAATGATGACACAATTTTCATTTATTAGGTCAACTTTTCCTTTAACCTGGTTAGAGCTGGTTGAGCTTGACCATGTTAAGCTGGTATAGCCTGGTTTTCCCAGCAGAACACACTTACTCTGAGCAAAACACGTCCTCTGCCATCCCAATCCAGATGTAGATCGTCACCATAAAGCAGTCTCACAGATGACAACACAGTATTCTGAACTCTTAATGCACCTACACACACACACACACACACACACACACACACAAACGCATTATTGTTATGTGGTGCTATGATTTGTACACCTCTATTATTACATTACAACTGTCCTTTTATTTGAAAAAAAGGCATCTGTATGTTCTGTGTATTTCATGCTGACAGACCATTAATTAGGGGTGTCTTCACGTCCATTCCATCCACAGAGACCACACCCCCATGCTTGAGGCGAACCGTCTGATTGGGCAGATCATGGAACCTCAGTGTAATTGATCGTGTGCAGACGGCATCTTGGTCATCAGCACACTTGAACAGAAAAATACAAACATAAGCACACATCCTAACAAACAAGGACAAGTGTACGTATATACCATAGGGAAGATTTCAGACCTGTGCAGTCTCAATGATGACAGAAAAAGAGTTGCTCTGACAGTCTTTAGCCAGCAGATATTGACAAATACCACTGAAGGTGAAGAACTTATTGTCAAAGGTCTTATAATGGGACTGTCCTGTCACCAGACACTCCCCTAAGGAGAGAGAGAACAAGAAACCGATTAGAAAACAATGTTTGTTTAAAAAAAAAAAAAAAAGAGTATTTTTTTTGTGTATTTTTGTGTAAAAAAGTATTTATTTCAATAAAATCTCATTCAAACTATATAACTATAACTATATTATAACTCCATAATATATCTATATAATATATATATATATATATATATATCAATAATAATAAAATAACAGTATACTTTTGTAGTGTTTGCTAATTGAGGCATTCAGAAATATTTTATGTCAACATGAAACTGCATTTTCTACACATTTTTGTGTCATAGTGTGACATATTTCCTGGTGAAATAGGATATTTTGTATTTCTTATTAGAATGGAGCTGGATTGACATTACATTAAATTACATTAAATTAATAGTTAAGTTACAAATTCACATTTACCAGGGCATTCTTCATTGGTACATTCCCATGATCCATGGCGACAGACGCTAAAAGTTAAGGTCAGTTAAGTTAAGACAATGTGTACAGATACAGCAGCCACAAATATTTGAATGCATTGTTTTGTAATGTGCACGTATGTGTATTTGTGTGTGTGTGTCCCACCATGTGTTGCAGTCCTGCGATATGGAGGAAGCAGGAGGGTATCGGTGTCCCGCATGCATGCAGGAGCATTGAGAGACATCAACACAACGATCTCCATCCAGCACCTTACCCGCTGACACACACATTTCACACATTCAACACTCAGCAGGAAAAGACACACTACAAAAATAACCATTCGTGTGGTCTTGTTTTTCAGTAGAAATATCTAAAGATAAATGTACCTAAAAAGCAGAAAATGTCATTTATTCCTGAATTTTTAAAGCTGAATTTTCAGCATAGTTACTCCAGTCTTCAGTGTCACATGATCCTTCAGAAATCAGTATAATATGTGACCCTGGAGCACAAAACCAGTCTTAAGTCGCTGGGGTATATTTTTAGCAATAGCCAAAAAAACATTGCATGGGTCAAAATTATCGATTTTTCTTTTATGCCAAAAATCATTAGGATATTAAGTAAAGATCATGTTCCATGAAGATATTTTGTAAATTTCCTACCGTAAATATATCAAAACTTAATTTTTGATTAGTGATATGCATTGCAAAGAACTTCATTGGGACAACTTTAAAGGTGATTTTCTCAATATTTCGATTTTTTTTGCACCCTCAGATTCCAGATTTTCAGTATCTCGGCCAAATAATGTCCTATCCTAACAAACCATACATCAATGGAAAGCTTATTTATTCAGATTTCAGGTGATGTATAAATCGCAATTTTAAAAAAAAGGACCCTAATTACTGGTTTTGTGGTCCAGGGTCACATGATTTGCTGCTCAAGAAACATTTCATATTATCATCAGTTTAAAACAGTTGTGCTGATTAACATTTTTGTAGAAACCTTTTTTAAGATTTTTAATGAATGGAAAGTTCAAAAGAGCAGCATTTATTTGAAATAGGAATCTTTTGTAACATTATAAATGTCTTTACTGTCAGTTTACTGTATACATTCTTCTAGATTAGCAGACCGGTATCTCTCTCACCTGGACAGTTGCAGCCGTCGACACACTCCTCCTTGCAGACTTCCTGGATGTTTATATTCTGACAGGAAGTGGAACAGGTCGGGGTGCAGTCGCTGTACTCCATGCCAATAGGACACTTAGGGGCTTAGCAAATGGAAACATACATTTATTTACACGCAGTCAATATCAGACTTATGTGAAATGTATTTATACAATTGTGAAAGTGAGTATGCATGTATTACTCACAGCACTGGCTCTGTAAATGCCAGTTGGACAGTGTTATGCCGCGACTGGCACAGGTACGGGCGTATTCCAGCATGGCCTGGCACACGCAGTCATCTCCCGTACTGCAGTGACAGGCATCAGACTCGCACACGGACACAAACGCAGCCGCATCCATGAGGTGAGCACAACGCAGGTAGAGCGTAGAGCTGCTCATGGCTTCACACCGTGACATCTGATCCTGAAACACACGCAAACACGCTCAGAAATCTGTATGATAAGGCACACAGACGGTTGTTTTTGTTTTGCAGGCGAGCGTCTGACTTTAGCTGATTCTCCGGTGCTGTTGCAGCTCTGAGACGGGGGCAAGATGCGTTTACAGGTTTCATCTGCTCCTTTCATGGCCCAGGAGTTTGCAAAGTCATATGGATCATCTGTCAGAAAACCTAAAATACACACATTTATAAATCTATGAATGTCATGAAGCTATATATATATATATATACAGTACATAGCTATATTTAGTATTGAAATATTTTATTATTATTTACACTGCCATAATGTGAAAAAAAGTTTTTTTTATTATTTATATATATATATATATATATATATATATATATAATACACACACACACAAAGAAAAACAAGTAGATAGAATAGAAAAAAAGATAAATATAGATAAAGTATAATTAAAATAGAATAGAAAGAGCTAGAGTTAGAGGGTCAAATTAATATATTACAGTATATATGTATTGAAATGTTTTATTTTATTACTATTATTTTTATATTGAAATGTATTATTATTTCCATTTTAGTATTTTAATCATTTTAATAGTACAGTATTTATTTAATGTTTTAAATATATATATATAAAAAAAATCATTTATGCTTATTTTAATTTTTAAAAACTGATTGTGTCCAGACAGGAAAACGCAAAAATAAATTATCCGGACACATTAATTATGACGTTTTTTTTAATAGTCTTTAGAAGCCAACTTATCAAAAATATACTTTATATTTGGGGTGAAATTGACCATAACACCTTCTTAGATTTCACCTGTTCAAACATGTTTGAACATCTTTCAGCTCTGTTATCTCTTAGTTTCCCTGGCTCTCCGTATCATGTGGTTGACTCATGTGAAAGATTATATTCTAAATTTAAACACAGCTGATAAGTGCCCCATCAACTACAAAAGCTGTAATACAGAACGATGACAGGGCACTAACATACTGTACCCCTCAAACACACACACACACACACACACACACAAAGATCTGAAACAAAGAGCTTTCTACTGAAACTTTCTAATGTTTTGTCTTCAGGATGAACACTGGCGCCACCTATTTCCTCAGCTCGTATTAATCAGCATCCTGTGCACTGCTTTTAACACATGATCTTACTGAAAGAGTGTTTGAAAGGTTTTTTTTTATTCTTTCCTGCGTTCGTTTCTCACCTTCTTGTGCAGTGTATTCATCCTCCACCAAATAATTGTAGTTTCCACACAGGCCACACGTACGGTTGCTGTGCTGCTTGGCAAGCATTAGTTGAATGTTATGCGAGGAATCTATACGGATGGAGAACCCGAACTCTTCGCTCCATAAACGAACATACCCCAGCTCATACCCTGCAAACACAGAGCTTGATGCATACGGCAATGGGAGCCTGGAGGGGAAAAATTCAGAATTATATTTTATATGCTCTATCCTGCTGAAAAGACTAGCATAACTAGTCGTGTTTTAAATACTGGTGAGCTGGTGCCACAAACCAGGCTGCTTAACTACTTTAACCAGCAACGGCAGCACTAACCAGACATGATAGTCTAAGCTGGTATTTTCAACAGGGTATAGTGATATAAAATGTATATAAAGAATGCTAAATGAATTGTTACTGTGATTTTGAATTCCTAAAATAAAAATCAAATAAGGAAAGTACTCTGTAAAAATTTGTTTCGAAGAGTAAATTGTACAAGAAAATACAATTTCAGTCGTTCAAAATTTCACATTTAATTCAGTGTGTTACTTATTTCTTTGTAATTATTGATGAAATGTACTTGTGAAAACTGTTTTACACCATTTTTTCCTTCAGTGTACAGTAGAACAACTTGTACCTCTCTGCGCCTTGTGACAGTGTCCCATCAACAGAGAGGTGAAGCTCGAAGAATTCTCCCAGAAATAAAGTCACTCCTTTCCTCTTTCCATGAGAGAAATCACCTAGACATAAACATACACAAAAGAAGGCATTTTATCATATTGACAGTGCACTGTACATGTACAAACTTTGCCATAGTTTGTTTAATTCATGAAAAACTATGTTTGTTTGTTTGTGTGTGTGTGTGATGTGTGTACCTGTTTTTCTATTCTGGTGGGGACTGGTGGAACCTGAATACATACAGACTCATGGGGACTCGTGTCACGGTGGGGAACTATATTGAGGTCCCCACGGATAAACAAGCTAATAAATCACACAGAATTAAGTTTTTTGAAAATCTAAAAATGCAGAAAGTTTCCTTTAAGGGGTAGGTTTAGGGGTAGGGGTGGTGTAGGGCAATAGAATGTCCGTAGAAAAACCATTACGCCTATGGAGAGTCCCCACAAGGATAGCAAACCAGACGTGTGTGTGTGTGTGTGTGTGACTGGCTTTTACCCAGTATGGAGAAGCTTCTGTGTTGGCAGTCTCCCGCCAGCATGTAGCTGCAGTCTCCAGGGAACTCATAAATCACACCGTCAAATGTGTGTATATGCTTCCGGCTAAACAGACTACAGCGACCAGACCCCTCGACTGACACCAAACCTACAGAACAAAGAGGTAAAGAGAGTTAAGCACTTGCACAATAGATTTTAATCAAAGCAACAGCTAATGTTCAAAAGTTTGGGGTCGGTAAGATGTTTTCGAAATGACCCAGCCTGCATTTGTTTGATCAAAAACACAGTAAAAACAGTCATATTGTGAAATATTACAATTTAAAATAACTGTTTACTATTTTAATGTATTTTAAAATGTAATGTATTTTTGTGATAGCAAAGATGAATTTTCACTGTCAACTAATCCTTCAGAAATCATTTTAATATGCTGATTTGATGTTCAAGAATAACATTTATTATTATTATAATGTTGAAAACAGTTGTTCTGCTTAATGTATTTGTCGAAATCTTGATATCTTTTTTCAGGATTGAATTATGTATAGAAAACAAAAAACAGCATTTACTTCAAATATCTTAAGTCTTTACTTAACTTTACTTTTGATCAATTTAATGCATCATTGCAAAATAAAAGTTAAAAAAAAACATAACATTTAAGAAACATCTAAACAAAACCAACAGACAGGAGTTGCAAACATGTACAAGCATCCTCGATTCTAACCTGAAAAATTCAAGACGAAAACCCATAGGATTCTACTCCATCCTTTCCATCTGAACTGTTCCATCTGATTAAAGAAAGAGAGAGAAATCATAAGAGACTTAGTCCAGTTAGTAATCAACTCAACCACCCAGAACACCATAGGAAGCATACTGCATTGCAATGTTAAGGGACACTGTACTTTTTTCCCACAAAATGTAAAAGTCTAATGCACAATTGCTGGCCATCAACAATATACTGAAGTGAGCATTTGGGGGTTTCATTTAGTGAAAAATAATAGCAGGAGCCAAAGCAAAAGTTCAGCTGGAAGTGAGAAACAAAGCAGAAATCTCTGAGCACCTACAAATCTGTCAGAGACTTAACTCATGTATTCCACATAGACGGCACAGAAAGAATGCTGTTATTCTTGAACATGAGCTTAGAACGGGAAAACTGAGCATGATATATTCACAAACACTCACTGTACATTACCATCCATGCTTAAATAGCAAAACATAAGCCTTAAACAAGCAAACAGATGTACAATCGCTAATACAAGGATTTGAAATAATCACAGAAACAAATGCATATGTAATGCATTTTCAAGTTAGCATATTGATAGTGTGACACCTGTTACCTTTGACCGCTGACCAGCTGTAGGCTCCCAGCAACAAGTTCTCTGAAGTGCTTTGCTGTGCAAGGTCTTCGCTGTCCAGTGTCTCACAATCCCGAAGACATGACTAGAACCCAGTTTAGAAGGAAAGAACTGCTTTATAAGAACGAGAGAGGGAGGGATGGTGTGATTTCTGTTTTTAAACTCATTAAGAGAGGACAATAGGAGGAAGTCTGGGCATTGTAGGAACTGAAGGATTAGTCTGGCAGTGAAGACAGATAAGACAAACCAACATTAGTGCCAAGCCAAACAGCACACACACTCACACAAACCGCAGCATATGAAGTGAGTTTGCAGCCTCTGTGATGTAACCCTTCTCTGAAACTGATGGATTAACTGTTGGAAAAACCTCACTCCAACGGCGTATTCAGAGCATGTTCACATGAACTCCATGATTTATTCACATGAACTTCATCATTAATATAGGCTTTTTCATGCTACCTTTCATTGTTGACCCTGAACTTGCTGGCAAAAACATGAGTTCATGTCTTACACCATATCCTTGCTTCCAGATTGTACAGCATATTTGACACAGTACTGAAAAGTAATTTGAACAAAGGCCCAACAATATGCTAATATATTAGCATAAAATAGACTGAATAGGAAAATTGACAACTTTAAAGGACCCAAAAAATGGAAATTTGCTGAAAATGTACTCACCCTCAGGTCATCCAAGATGTAGATGAGTTTGTTTCTTCATCAGAACAGATTTGGAGAACTTTAGCATTACATCACTTGCTCAGCAATGGATCCTCTGCAGTGAAAGGGTGCCGTCAGAATGAGAGTCCAAACAGCTGATAAAAACATAATTAATATCATAATCCATAAGTAATCCATGTGACTCCAGTCCAACAATTAACATCTTGTAAAGTAAAAAGCTGCATGTTTAAATCCATCAAGTTTTTTTAACTTTAAACTATTGTTTTTGGCCTAAATACCCAAAATAGTCCATAATACATAAAAACACTATCCATTTCATGTTGTTCTCTCACATCAAAATCCACCAACATATTTGTTTAGAACTGTTTTGGACTGTCGATTTGCTTGATTTGTGCATATTTCTCTTCTGATTCAGACAAGACCATTTTTTTTACTACAGAAAGGTGAATAATGGATTGTTTTTGGCAGAATACAGAGTTGAGGGATGCTCAGTCTTTGATGTCAATAAAAAGTTAATAGGCTGAGAGAGAGAGCGAGAGAGAGAGAGAGAGGGGACATATGCTATTGATCTTTCACTCTCCTTCACAACCATGCTTAATAGCAATGTAAATGAGGACATACTATAGACTTGTTTTGATGTAAACTTAATTATAAACACTACTAACCCAGCCCTACCATTATATGTGTGTGTGGGTATTTATGTATATTTGCACATTCCAGATCTCTATCCATCAGATATCAAATGTGTGTGGATCAATATGACTCTAATAATGCTGTAATTCTTGATTATGAATTCATGTGTGTGGGAATTGTGAGTCAATGAGAGCTGCTGTGGTGCTTCAGTTGTTATTTTTCTTATTTTTAGTATGAGAAATGAGTGAAAGTGAAGAAGAGTAGAAAGTCAGTGAGACAAATGTGAAACTAATAACGTATCATTTAAAATGAAGAAATTATCTACCTGAAGTGTTTCAGTAAAACAAAATGATTTATCTTTCATTTCAATGAAAGAGAACATTAATATTCAATTAAACTTCATTTCCAAAAAGCGGGCAGGTGTTGTTAACACCCACATATCTATAGATAGCCTAATAAATATTTATTATTTAGCCTAATATTTTTATTTTTATTATTTTATTCCTTGTTTTATTGTTGTGATTATTGTTTTTATTTTATTTTATGTAAAGCACTTTGAATTACCATTGTGTATGAAATGTGCTATACAAATAAACTTGCCTTGCCTAGCCTAAAGTTCACAGGACATGCAACATTTAAAAATGTCTTAGAGAAACCACTGATCAGTGGAAGAACCCTTTTTCTTTTTCTGAACATATATAAAAGGTAAATACACACATTTACAGCTCAAAACAGATTACAACAAAAAACAATAAGAGATATAACATAAACAATATACAAAGAAAAAGAAAACATTAAGCCAGTGGTAATGTATAATTTAAAATAAATTAAAAAAAGAGAGAGAGAGAGAGACAACCTTTGCTAAATCCCTGCCTCCTTATTATACAGGTGCATCTCAATAAATTAGAATGTCGTGTAAAAGTTAATTTATACCACTCAACTCTCGGTTAACATGCTTGGATACAGCACTCTGTGAACAGCCAGCTTCTTTGGCAATGAATGTTTGTGGCTTACCCTCCTTGTGAAGGGTGTCAATGATTGTCTTCTGGACAACTGTCAGATCAGCAGTCTTCCCCATGATTGTGTAGCCTAGTGAACCAAACTGAGAGAACATTTTGAAGGCTCAGGAAACCTTTGCAGGTGTTTTGAGTTGATTAGCTGATTGGCATGTCACCATATTCTAATTTGTTGAGATAGTGAATTGGTGGGTTTTTGTTAAATGTGAGCCAAAATCATCACAATTAAAAGAACCAAAGACTTAAACTACTTCAGTCTGTGTGCATTGAATTTATTTAATACACGAGTTTCATAATTTGAGTTGAATTACTGAAATAAATACAACACATAGTCAATAGCACAATAGCACATAAGTATTATACTTCGTGCACAACGCATAGGATGTTAAGGCTTTATCACTCTTAAAAATAAAGATGCTTCAAAAGGTTCTTCAAGCGATGCCATAGAAGAACCATTTTTGGTTCCACAAAGAACCATTCAGTCAAAGGTTCTTTAAAGAACCATCTCTTTCTTGCATTTTTGTAATCTGAAGAACCTTCTTTCGCCACAAAGAACCTTTTGTGAAACAGAAAGGTTCTTCAGATGTTAAAGGTTCTTTATGGAACCATTTAGACAAAAAGGTTCTTCTATGGCATCATGAAGCACCTTTATTTTTAAGAGTGTAACATTGCTGGAAGAAGAGATAGTATCCAAATAGTATTTCATGTCTTTACAAAAAATAATAAATAGAGGTTTAACAGACAAAAATTTGCATTTATGAATAAAAAAACTTATCTAGGAAAGTAAATGGATTTATTAGAAAATACTTGTCTTTTAGATTCTGGCGGGAGTTATCCGTCTACACACTCACACACTGGGACACGGACGGATCCGTTACTCTTGCATTCAGCACTGTGTGAGAACAGACTGCTGTGATGGCGGCGTTGACTGGAGGAGAGATGTGCGTCAAGTATCTGATGTTCGTCTTCAATTTCATCTTCTGGGTGAGTGAGAAATGTGTGCAGGTGTTGGCTCGCGCGCGGGACGTTGTTTTATGATTGCTCGCGATTTCCCTCAAAGATTCATTGATAAATGCGTGAGCACACAGCGTCCCGTTTAGATTGTAATTAATGACGTAGGGACGTCTGTGTAAAGCAATGCAACGGGACTGCAACCATTTGGCTGACCTAATTTGAAGGTTTTCGGGTCGGATATCAGGACCCTGGTCGTGTAGTTAAAATAGGCTACTGTGTGTTTGTTTGTGAGTCAGCGTGTGTGCGTGGGACAAGTACTGAATTTTGATAGTGTTTCCTTTGACTCCCCTCTGTTCTGGACAGCCGAGTTCTGGTGATGTCCGACTCGTGAGCAAATCGTTCTTTTGAACCGGTTCTTTTTAATGAATCATTCGAACCGATTCTCCAAGTGTTCAGACTCGAATTCGAGTTCGCATACTACTCTTATGATGTAGACAGTTTGTCGGGTTCTGGAAGTAAAATCTCATTTATTTTCTACATATTTAAATTTATTTTAATCCAGTCATAAAAACGGAATTTACTGTATAACGTGGAATTTCATGGAATCTGTTTATTTTTGATGAATAAATAAAAAAACAGGTCAGTACACACATATATATATATATATATATATATATATATATATAGACTGTGTCTGTGAATATTAAACTGCAAAAAGACTATTTAAATACGAATGTTCTGCATGTTCATTTGATTACCAGAAAATACACAACACAGAGTTTGTGAAAAAAAATATTATTAATTATTATTATTTCTTCATTTTAGATGTTTACATTTGGAAAAGCTGTGCTTCCTGCATAAACCTGCCCCTGTTGGTTTGGCAGTAGCTTGCTTGCCCTACACGGTTACCTTGTTTAATTTCTTAATTCAAGTTATATATATTTTGTTCTATTTGTGTTTTTAAGTTATTTATAATAAGTGAAGTTTACTGTTAAGTGCACTGATGTCAGACTCATTTTAAATAATAAAGTTTATTGTTAAATTGTTAAATACCCTGCCTCCACTAAATAGGCCTATGTTTGTCACATCATTATAAGTGTTTGATCACCACATTTGAGTTATCATTGCAAAAAATGTGTTTATGTATATATATTCTGTTTATGTAGGCTATATACTGTGTTCTATATACAGTACCAGTCAAAAGTTTGGACACGAATGGGAAGTGTGTCCAAACGTTTGACTATACTGTACTATAATATAGCCTACACATAAAGAATATCGGCAGACATATTGGTATCGGTCTTTTTTTACACCCTAATAATCGGTATCGACATCGGCCCCCAAAAAACCCATATCGGTTGGGTTCTAATATCAATCACACTTTCTGAAATCTGCTTCTTGACTCAATTTTGTTCAAACATTTAAGACATTTTTATGCAAAACTGCATTAAAAATGGAAAATAATTATATTTTTGCCACAACATATCATTGCAAATCCAAATATGCATAATTCCTATGCTATATAGCTTGCAAAAGCAGTTTGCATTATAAATTGTCACCTAACATTATATTTCAGAAAGCAACAACATGCAATCAAGCTTGCACAGTATGTTTTGGGCCTAAATCCAGTTGGGTCTGCTCTGCTGTTTTTTTTTGTTTTGTTTTGTTTGGTTGGTTTTTTTTGGCAATCCAGATCGCACCATACTGCAATGTTCAGTCGGATGTTCAGTTTCATGCCAGAGTTCAGCAAACTGCAGCATATGCATAATCAAAAAGAATGGAGAATTTTTGAATTCTCATCTCAAATAAAATTTAGTTGCACCAGCAGGAAAATGGCCACGAAACGTTGCCTTTTACTCACAGCCTGGAGCTCTGCAATCAGATCAATGATTTGATCTTTCCATAGTGTTTATACATTACGGGAGAGCCTGCCTACGAATAGCTTATATTTGTTGTCTGTCCACATTAAACTGGGAAAAACTATCACCTTAAACATTGTGGTGAAACAAAATACTAGATGTGAATTTTTGAACCATTCCATTGAAGTGAATTCAATTGACTAAATGAATCGCTAACTTTATCAACAGTGAACACAACCTAGAGCCGTATGGTGTGTGTGTGTGTGTGTGTGTGTGTGTGTGTTCAGCCCGAGGGTTTATGTGAGCACACGTCCTAGATTGTCTTTAATCTGCGGACCTATTTATAGAGCATGATAATCTCATGGACAAACTCACTGTAAACTGCATTTGTTGGGTTTTTATGGGGGGATAATTTGCACGTTATGAAATAGTGTTTTTGTGTGTGTGTTGGATTTGGTCTCATTCATTTGCACTCTGTAAATATTACTTAATATCAGCATTACTTAACACCTTCTCTGAGCACACACACACACACACAGAACCTGCAGGTCTTAGAACCATTGCA